TGAAATTGTTAAGGTATTTAGGAAAATCTATTATAATTTTAATAATCCTCTCATTTATTCTACATTTTTACAAACTAACAATAATAGAATATGAATAAATAAAATAGCTTATTTTATATAGAGGTATAGTATATAATCTGAGTAATTGATCTTTACTCTTATTATGATATAGTTAGCAAAATAGATTCTGTAAAATACTTGCAGAAATGTAATATAAGGTCTAAGATATTATTGAAAGTATATCTGATAACTCTAGATTAATAAGAACATGGGTTAAGTATTTGCCAAAAGTTATTAATTACTTAAATAATTACTTAAGATGTCTTATTAGAGTAGTAAATTCTTTAAAATAATATTTAGTTTCAAAATAGGCTATTAAATAAGTTAGAGTCAAATTAAGGTTATCAATGAAATATAAACATCCTGTGAGAAAAATTGAAGAGAATAGGTTAAAAAAAAAGACTTTATTTATTATTTACTTGTTAATACAGAATATTAAGATAATATAAAAAATATAAAAGGATTACGGATTCTATGGTTTTACTTTTATTGTATAAAATTCATAAAATTATTATAACAAAGAATAAACCAGTTTTATATTATCTCAAAAGATGATGAATATGCTTCAAAATAAGGATTTATAAGAAAGGAGCTTATGTATATAGATCTAAAGAAAATCGACTATTCATCTCAGAGTATATTGGAAAAAAACATTTGTTTCAGATCAATTAATTTCATTTATATTATTAATAAAATATTCAAGACTTAATAATATATTGAGAAGCATAGAGAAAAATGTCTTGGTAAAACTAGTTATATAAATAGATTTGATATATATTTCTAGTCTTGTGAAAAAAATTTTTTTAATAGTAGGCATTTTATAAGATCCAAAAGTATAATTTTAAATGATATTCACTTTGTTTTCACTATATTAACAAGAGGTATTGCAGATATATTTTTGAGAATTTAATTGATAAAAAATTCTTGTCACTTCTGGTTCATTTTTGAAAGGCTTGTATTTGAATAGATATAATAAAGAATTAAAATTATTATATGAATACCAAGAATTTCAACACGATCATCAGAATGCCATGTTCTATAAGAAAGACAAAATAGACTTAAATAATCAACAGATATGTAATCAAAAAAAGTAATATATATGTGAAAGAAAGAAAATAGATCTTACTGTATCTGTATCCCATTCGATTGAGATTTACTTCTTTATATCAAGAGTGAATTGCTTAAAAAAAATATTTGAAAAATACAGATATCGATAAACACAATAATTATTATTATTTAATTAGCAAGACTAAATATTATTACACTCTAAATCCAATTGCAATAGTATATTCAGATACCTTACTATTGATTCCAATGAAATATCTTTATTATTTTATTAGTAATGTCATGAAAAATATTCAACAAAATTTTTACACAATCTTTTTGTGTTACACATATTAACCACACAATAGTATTAATCGACCTCCTTTATCATTATATCCAGTACATAGTAAGAAATTAAAATAATCTATCACAATATTTGTTGCCATCTTTAGATATGTAATGATTTCTCGAAATAGTTGTTGATATATCTCTATTTCTGAAAAACAATCTCATCAGGTTTGAATTCTATAAATTCAGAAGGTTGTTCATGAAGTAAGAATTCAACTCCTCAATGGCCCTTCACATGCTTAATTACCGGTCTTTTGTCTGGAAATAAAGTATATAGAATGTTTAATGGTAAAAAAGGTGTTAGATATATTAAGTGTGATGATGCTATTCTTTTTGGCCACCATCTTAGAGAACCAAAATACATACAGTACAGTATATCTGAAATTAGTCTATCGAATAATCGCAAATAGTTCAGAACCATATCATGAGGATGTTACATTTCGAGCCTGATAAAATTCCAAAGCATGACTCGTTCTCATCAGAAAGAGGTACAGTGGCTATATTCGAAGACGTATGCACTAAACCAAAGAAAATTCAAAAAAAGATTATACCTTATTTTACTGAAGGGCGTCATTCTAATGTTTCCTCGATATATGTATCACAAAGCTATTTCGACTGTCCAAAGATAATACGAAAAAATCTCACACGCGTCTGTTTATTTAACGGATCATGTACCTCAGATGAACTTGTCAGAATTGTGCGTTAATATGCTAATGACTGGCGTAGTGTGATTAAAATTATTGATAGACATTTAAGTGAACAAAAATTTATTGTTTTCGATCTAACCGTACCTCGAGAGCATCCACACAGAATACGTCTTGGTTGGGATAAAATTTTGACTTTAGATGAATAAAGAGTGATATTAAATTGGATTCCGTGATTTTAGGTTTGCAAGCTTTCTTTCCGACTCTTGTAATTGCATCTTCTTATCTTCGATATCACATAGTAAAATTCGTTTTTCGATATTTAGTTTTTCAATTAATTCTTTATTGTAATCAAGTAACTTCTGGAATAAAATATAAAGATTTTTCATGACACGATGATTGATCTCCTCCTCGTGATTGCAAATGTGAATGGGTGAAGTATTTTGGATCTTGGTTCCTTGATCGGTCATGTTTATACTACCTATATATAGTTTGTGAATTTTCAAGTGGTAATGAACTTCGGCGCTGACGATATTTCTTTCTATTATAAACCATAATCTCATGCCGTAAAAAATCTCAATACCTGGATCTATACCACATACTTCCAATTCTGACAAAGGATTGCGTTTTCTCATAGTTAAGCGTTTCCATGACTCTTCTACTAGTGAGGGAGGCAGTTGTTTTATTAGATCTGTATATGCTTGATTGAATTGCATTTGCATATACTGAGATAAAAATTCTGTCGAATTCTATAGAATTTCAAAAAAAATAGTTAAAAATACCATAGATAGCTTTATTTTAAAGATATTTATGTGAATAAGTTATATACTGTATTTAATAAATCAAATAGATAAATTAATCGAAGGGATAAATACCATTTATGCATTGAAATCTCAACGCATGTCATCTCGAATACTTTGCAAATAAGCATTAATGTGATGCTAGCTCTTTAGCAATTAATCCATTGGGATGGTATAATCGCTCAAGAACCTTTCTTTGTATAGTGATACATGCTTTAATTTTTCTGATAGCATTGTGCATCCACAATTCATATAGACGTAACGCATTTGTATCATAGTAATTATATTTAGGTTTTTGCTTAATTTTTAAGTATTCATCACACTTACATTACAGAATTTATTACCAATACATGAAAATTTCCAACATAATTTGTAGAGATAAGTTGTCAGCAATATATAACTGATTACAAGAGTAACAAATTGGTAATCCAATTTCATGAGCATACCATCCTTGGCTTTGATATTTTTTGCTTTCAGAAGGCAAAAGATCATTTCCTCTGAAATACTGTGAGCGGAACCAAATTCAATTCATCCATTATCTTGGAGTTTCATCAAACTTAACAACCCCCATTTTACAATATTCATACCATTCTTCGTCCGAGCATTTAACACCATATGCTTCGCCCATGCGAATTATTTTATGACCTATTTATACGGATTTAGAGATTATGTAGATATATAGTATTTAGGGATTAAGACCTATTATATTTAATGACTATATAGTAAGAGAATACACGATTCAATTTTAGTAGGATTAGATTCTAGAACCATCTCTTCTTGAGATCATATACAATAAATCATTATTTATAATTTGAGAAATAAGAGTATAAAAATATATTGGTGAATCCAGCTATATATAATATTAAGTTATCAATAGAAAAGTGCGAGAAATAATTACTATGCTTTCACCGTTACTATTTGTATTGAATTTTGATAATTCTTATAACATTTGATATGATACGTTTTTGTATTGATATAATCACCACTACCCCATATACCTTCAACATTATATTTTATATTTTCTTTCATATGATCTTTATTGCACACTGGGCATATTTTTGAACAAGTAAAGTAATCGTCATACTCATTGTTGTAGTTCAAAGATAAATAAGGGAACTGCTCTAATACTTTGTTAATAACAGAATTTTTCTTCTCTTCTGGATCATCAGCTAAAATAGAAATTGGAGGTCGAAATTTGGTTGGCGTGGGTGAATTGGAAATGTTAGTTTCAGTAGATATACTTACTTCAGTTTCCGGTAAAGATTTAACTTCACTTATATTGTCTTTCGAATTAGAGATGTGAGACAATGGTGTGGCTATAGTACATACCTCTATTACTGGTAAAGTTTTCTTATCTACCTTAGTTTCTGGTAATTTTTTCGAGCAAGACTCATTGGAGCTTTTAGATTCAGTAGCTGGTGAATCGCATACGCGTGAAAAATTGTTCACGTCGATCACTTTTATCAAGAAAAAATAATTATGATTGATATGCAAAAATCTTATTTAACCCGTGATGATCAGTAGTATATTTACCTACATTATTTCTTGGCTGAGACAATTCCGCTGATGAAATATTTATAACCACTAAATCCATATAATTATTTATCGCCATATAAATATAGAACTATACCCCATCCGGTAATGGATCCTTCGGCCTTCGTCCCACGTCTGGCACGAGACAAATCTAAAAAATAAAATAATCTATTAACTTTTTTCGCTCATAAATTGCAAGGCTCTGTAATAAAGACTTACCGATACGCTCTCTCATGCAATCGGTTGACTAGTGATGAATAAATAGCTCGGTTCTATTCGACTAGCTCATTTAAGTCGCAACAATAAACAGCTCGGTTCCGGCTCTTCAAAATCATTAAGCCGAAATAAAGTCGATTAAAATTACAATAAATTAAATATCTATGTACTGTATTTAATCTTTTTTTAGTTAATATTGTTATCGTAATAATAAAGTAACAAATATAAAAAATATTATAAAATTAAATTTATAGAAAAAAAAGTAGAATAGTGGTAAACAACTGGCGCATGTATAAATATATACGTTATCCGCTAGCATTTAGTAGTAGAGAATTGTACAGTATTAGCATTCATAGTTTATTAAATAAAGCATTTATTTTCGAGACTGTGTAACTCGTACAAGGAAACAGTTATTCAAAATGACCTGTGTTATTGTATCGTTTGCCGATTGTGTGCATGATTGTAACTTGTATATGGGAATTAGACAAACTAGAGTTTGACTAGAAGGATTAGGAAGTTCTAGCGACTAAGTAAGGTTCAAGGAAGAAGTCAGACGATGCAAAGTTAGCAAGTGATAGAAGAACTGGTCAAATTGACATACACCTTAGGAGTTAAAGCCTTTATATTACCTGCCTAACTACCTATCACGCAAGAACCCATATATTGACGACAGACTCACCAGAATTCCTGTAATATTTGGTGGTGAACCGTGAAATATGAATAAAAAACAACATTCGTTCATTACTCCATCCCTTAATAAAATATATTCTATAAGCGCACTAATTACTGTAATTAGAAACTGTTAATCAAAATAACAAAAAAAAACCTTAAAATACATTTACCTATTCTGGAGGATACCTGATAATCTGGATTATTAATCAACAAAGATGAAGGAACTAAATATTAATATGCTAAAAGAGATGAACAAAGAGAGATTACAACTGGATGATGAATACTTTCCCTTAAGAGATAAACTGACCGTTCAAGCCTCCTGATGAAAATCTGAAGGAGACAAACAAAATGGTGAATGAGGTGGGCAAGTTAACGAATGGTGACTAAAAAAAATGATATTATAACAAACAAGGAAAATTCACAACCAGATAACGTGAATCCTATCACATACTTACCCCAAGAAGCTGATGGCGCCACCTGACAGAAATATAATGAAAGTAAGAAAAGAGAAGAAAATATCAGTTAATAATGAAATGATGGAAAGAATGAGGATTAGAGTTGGGACATTTTAATGTTACCTGATCTGAAATCGAGGTGCATAAAGACAACAACATCAGTTATAATGACATGATCAGATGATGCAAATATAGAGCTAACCAAGATGCAGAGGAGTTAATTAAAAGAGGGATAGCATGCTAAGACTTGTATAGGTTAAAAAGGGATTGGGTAAATAACTTTTACTATAATGTGTTTTTAGAACAATGAATATTTTGATTTCTGATTAAATCAACATTTATTTAACTATTTTTTCGATCTATTATTAAATTAACTATCTAGCATTTTTTTTTTTGATTATATCTAATTATTATATCAAAATATTATATCAAATTAATATTTTAATATATAAGCTAGAACTGAGTTAAATAAATATTTATATAAAAAACTGAATTATTAACTTCTTGTTCTTATAATGTTAAAAATGTCAAGCAATATTTTTGAAAATGATTTGGATGACTGGATCGATTCAGATGATATTGATAATACAATACCTTCAGAATTTTCAGATAATGATATTGAAGACAATGAAGGCAGTTCTAATAGTATAGGCATAGAAATAGAAAATAATAAGTTTGAGGATGAAAGAAATGTCAATGTTAATCAAGACTATAATATTACATCACAATCCAAAAGACGAAAGAAATCTTCAAAAGTTTGGATTTATGTAAATTCAGAAACGTGACAATGTTATACATGCAATATTAAATTTGCAATTTCTACATCAACATCAATGATTCAAAAACATTTGGATGGGCATTCAATTTTATTAACAAGTGAAGATCAATAGTAATTAAACAATATCATTCAGCTTTTATTCAAGAAAAAAAAACCGATTTTGTAATTAAATGGATAGTAATTGATATGCTTCCATTTTTAACAATTGAATCAACTAATTTTTATTTAATGGTCAATTCTTTTGATCCATTATATAAAATTTCACATCGATAAACAATTCGCAATACAATAATTTTACAATTTGAACAACAACATACAAAATCATCAAATTATTTTTCAAAAATTCCTGGAAGAATTAGTATAATAACAGATTTCTGGACATCAATTAAATATGAAATATTTTTAGGAATAACAATACATTATATTGATAATAACTGGAAATTGCATCATTTTACTTTAAATATTAAGCATTTTAAAGGAAACCATACAGGAAAAGCTATTTCAGATACTATACTAGAATTATTAAGAGAATTTAATCTTCAAGATCATATATTAGTTATTACTATGAACAATGCATCCAATATGATTTTAGGATGTAAATTATTAAAGAATCAATTGAATTCAAATAATTCTAATAATACGTTTATACATATACAATGCATATATCATATTTTGAATTTGGCAGTAAATGCTGAATTGGCTAAAGAAGTAGAATTAATTAAAAAATTAAGGAGTTTTATTAAAATTGTAAAATAATCTATTAAATATTTAGAAAAACTTGAAAATTTAGCAAAACTAGAATCAAAAACCTTTATTAGACCTATACTGGATATCAAAACAAGATGGAATAGCACATTTAATATACTTAATCTATTTCTAGAAATGCATGATCATTTAGAAGAATTAATATTTCGAGATAATAACTTACAAAATTTATGGCTAACAAGTGAACAATGGACAAAAATTATAGATTTAATTAACTTACTCGATCAATTTAACAATGCAACAGTAGAATTATCTGGACAATATTATTCAACAATTGGATAAGCACAAATAATTCTTATAGGATTAAAAAATGATTTGAATCAATCACGTAATTCAAATTATTCATGCAAAAGTATTCTCTAATCTATTAATAATAAATTAATAGAATATGATGAATATTTTGAAAATTTATTAATAATTGGAGGATTTTTTGATCCACGTTACAAAAATTATTGTTGTTCTGAGCAAGAAATATTAAATTTATTGAATTTAATACGTAGTTTACTTCCAGAATCAGCAATTTCAATATCTAATATTTCATCAACTCGACGTATATCAATTTTTTTGCAAAAACTTCAACCAAATAATTTTAATTCAATCAAACGAGATGAGATACAAGATTATTGGAGTTGCACATCACCTTCTGAAGATACATCACCTCTTCAATGGTGGCAAGCTCATGAACAAGAATATCCAAATTTAGCAAAGTTAGCAAAGGATTTTTTTATGTATACAAGCAAGTTCTGTTCCATGTGAACAATTATTTAGTTTAGCAAGTAATATAATATCTAAAAAATGTAATAGACTTACTGGAAAATCTGTATGCGCTATTTTATGTCTTCGAAGTTGGTTTATTAAAAATATTAATTAATAAAATTTTAATTTTTATAATTTTTTTTAAAAATATTTTTTGAATTTATAAACGGTTTTTTAATAACTCTAATTATTTTATAATCAGTTTTGACTCGGTTTTAGTTTTAGTTAATGGTTAGCTCAACTTTATTATAAAGCTGATATAACTGAACTAAAAACTGGTCAATTCGAACCATTTAACATCACTACGGTTGACGCTGGTGGGATTCGTATCTGGTTTGGTTTCGGCTTATCGAGTTGATTCGGTTATTCAGATCTCGCACATAATTTAAGTCTTGTCGAGGAATCGTAGGAACAACGGATCCATTCACATCCTTCTAAATTCCATTCTCAAGATTATTTAAACGGAAGGGAAGTCCCGCAAATTATGGAAGAAGGTACTATGGGCAAAGTAAATGACATTATGACAGATTTCGCGAGTTACTGGAAAATTTCCATGGAGAAGAAGACATGAAGAAAAAGCAACGACCTGTCCAGGCCTAAGAGGTACTACAATCTGGAGTTGCGGGAAGCAAAGTTCACCCCCCTCAAAATCGCCAAGAGACACCAAGAAACATAGACTATTTGACTCGTCGTGTTCGTCCCGGTGAAAATCGTTATTGTATTAAAGTTGATCGCGATCATGGGAAAGTTACTGACCTTGCTAAATTAAAAAATATGTTTACAATAAACATCATAATGGAAGATTGGTTGCCTGTAGCGAACTTATTAGTTTCTAATCTCAAACGCGTCAATAACAAAAAAGGTATGATTTTAACACCAAATGCTCGCAAAAGGAATGAATATGTGCCAATAAAAATAATTAACAATGATATTTGTACGCATAACAAGGTTCATATTTTAGTCGCGTGAGCCTTCATTCCTAATCCGGAAAATAAACCTTATGTTAACCATATTAATGGCATCAAATATAATAATCGAGTAGATAATTTGGAATGAGTAACTCCTAAAGAGAATGCGGAATGTAAGGTATTTCCAAATCGTGGTCGTGGCAGGTCCAGGAAAATTGTTCAGAAAACTTTGGATGGAAATGTCATTCAAATTTGGGATTCCATCACTCTTGCGGGTTATACACTTAAAATTTCAAGACATCATATTTCGGTGTTGTAGTAGAAAACGAAATATTGCTGGTGGTTGGCATTGGATGTATTATGAGGATTATTAGAACAAGATCCTAATGAAGAGTGGAAAGAGATAGAGGTTGATTTATGAAAATTTAAAGTTTAATCTCTTGGAAGAGTTCATTTGTGCAATGGTTTAATTTCTCGGGGATCATTGAACTCAGGATATCTCCGAGTTATATTCACCGGTTGGTAGCATTAGTATTTTGTCTATAAGAAGAAGGCAGAGAATACGTAAATCATATTGACGGCGACTCTATTAACAATGATGCATCCTATCTCGAATGGTGTATCCCGAAAGAAAACTCTCAACACATTGTACATCTAGGCCTTTGGGGAAATTGTCATCGACGTGCTATCAAACAGAGATTGTCGATGATGGCTCTACTCAAGAATTTTTATCCATATCTGAAGCACAACGTATAACTGGAATTGAGGGATTATACAGTAGCAGTTATAAAAAATGCACCATGCATGTATGTTAATCAAAATAATTATTATTTTTGAAATAAAGTTTCGAATGTACTTAAAAATTGTATGATATTATTGATAACTATATTAGTAAATAATAAATATATTTTAACTATATTTATTAAATAATGAGTGAGAATTGTCTGATTATTCTAGAAAACAATGATGCATTTTTTTTTTATTTTCTTATATAAATATCTTTATATTTTGTTTTTGCCATTAGATCTTTTCAAATCTACAATTATGATTATTAAAAAATAAACTTTAGCAATTATATTTTTGCATTAATTTAAAAATGCTACAATTAACCATAGAACAAAAAGTTCAAGCTATAATATTAATCGAAGAAGAATATTCATTACATGATATTGGAAACCATCTTGGTGTACATCATTCTACTATTCTTCAATTAAAAAAAGATTGAAGAAACAGGTAGCATAAAAAAAAGTCTGGATCTGATCGAGACCACAAGTTATCCAAATGATAAGAGAATGTGTGAGAAAAATTTTATTAGATGAATGTTCAACAGCAATTTCAATTCAAAAAAAAATTAGTTATCAATAATAGTATAAAAATAAGTCACAGTATAGTATTTTTAATATTAAAAGAATATGGTTTAGTAACTAGAATTAAGATAAAAAAGCCTTTGTTTACAAAAAAAACATTGTTAATTACAATTAAATTTTGCTAAAATATATAAAGATTGATTAGCAGAAGATTGGAGCAAAATTATATGGTCAGATGAGTCAAAATTTCAACTAATTAATCCAAATGGATAAGAATTTTATTGGAAAAGACCTGGTGAAAAAATTAATAATCATTATATAAAACAAACTATTAAATTTTGTGATGGATCTATCTTTATTTGGGAATTTATGACTTGAAAAGATCTTGAATACTTATATTGAATTAATGAAAAGTTAGATTCATAACTTTATATAGAAATTTTATTAGATAAATTTATAAAAACTTTAGAATATTATGAATTAGATAATAATAATATGATTTTTATGTATGATAATGATTCTAAACATAAATCCAAATATACTAGCAATTGGATTAAAAAAATAATATAGAAACATTAAATTGGTCACCATATTCACCAGACCTAAACCCTATAGAACATATTTGAAATGAAGTAGAATGTAGATTAGATAATCTAAAAATAGAAATAAATAATGTAGAACAATTATAGGAATCGTTAATAATGTATGAAATTCAATTGAATTAGAAAATTAATTGAAACTATGCCATGTAGAATTAAAAATGTTATTGTAGCTAGGGAAGTTATATAGACTGGTAATAAATAATTATAAATATTTTTTAAAATTTAATAAACTAGGATATATTATATTGTTAATAAACTTTTTTAAAATTTAATAAACTAGGATATATTATATTGTTAATAAACTTTTTTAAAAAAAAAAGTATCAAAAAAATCGCACCATCAAATTTCAAAAAATCGTTTTTTTTTTACAAATTTATTTTTAAATAATAAAAAGACTTATATAAATAAATAAAGTAGCTTATTAAATATTCAAATATAAATTAGTTTAAATTTATATCCTTTTTCTAGTAAAATATGATTAATTCTAATCAAATAACTTAAGTGGTACATTTTTTATGACGGCTACTGTATATTAGAAAGTTTGCCAACTTGTGCTGGTGGATACATTGGGAATATGTAGCACAATAAACATTGAGATATACTCGTATGTTTTCCAGCTCAATTGCATTATAAATATCTTTTTTTAATCCCTTAAAGCTAATTTAATGACAAGCTCGTATTGAGTTTAAATGCTAGTAATCTCGTTAAAAGAACATAAATCTTAATCCATAAAAAATAGTCATGAAATGGCACTTATCGTACGCATCTTGGTGGATGATCAAGGTTAATGGTCATATTTTCATAGATTTTGCGTGGTCCAGAGTCGATTAGAAACCTTGCTCAACGAATCCACGTAAAAATCAAGCAAAAAACGACAAACAAGATTGCTTTATTATGTGATTTTACATTTAAGTCATTGTTTTAGTGATGATAAAGTCAGACTATACTGTCACAACCCAAAAGTAAATTGACCGATTCTAATGAAGTAACAATTTTACTTTTGGAGAATCAGGAAGTTTACGCACAAAGGACATCCGTGCAGATGGCGTGAATTGGTTACTTCGATATTTGAAGTTTTCCGCAAATTGTCCATGTTTCTGAAATTGTAAAGAGAAATGAGAAAAATACTTATTATAAAACTCGAAGATAATATGTAATATACCTCCAAAGCGACCATATGGGTGATTGAAGCCTCTGCTAATGGAATCGTGGTCTGGTCGATTACTAATTTGGTCGTGAAAAATGGCCAGTAGCGATATAATCCATCATATTTAAGATCCATAAAAAATGATTCCATCAAATCGCCTAATCACACAGATGATGATTTAATATATATATCACAAACTTATATGTAATCTCATTCATTTCAAGCATACACACCCATGTTTAGGAATATGCTGGCTTCACCTGGACCTCCCTTACTTTCCAGCTGCTGATTGATTGATTTTCGGGCCTTTAACTGAACTTTTAAACGATCCTTCTTTCGTTGCAGTGGTGTGCACCCTAATGACTTGAACTCTGAGTTTAATATTGGCACGGCGTCTACCACACAAGAAAGGTCTGGTCTTTTCCTTGAACCCGCGTTGGCACGGTCCAGTAATAGCTCATATTCGTTTTCATCAGAAAAGAACGGAC